CAGCGGCGGGGGCGGAGGCGGTGGTGGTGGGGGCGGGCCTGGTGGCGGTGCCGGCCGCCGCAACTCCTGGGGCGGGGCCTCGGGGGATGCCCCCTGCCCCTGCGGCCGTTCCAGCCGTGGTTCCACGCGTCGGCCGTCCACCCCGCTCGTGGGGGGGGGCCTAGCTCTCGTCTCCCCTCGGGAGGGGGGGGGGGCAGGGCCCGGATTCGCCGACGGCCCCGCTTCTCCCCCCTCCCGCTCCGCATCAGGCCGTAAATTGCCCAGTAGTCGCGTCGCCTCCCCCCTCGCCCGGTCCTTCTCGATTCGGTCCCGCACCGCCCGGATATCAAAGGCCGAGTTGTGTTCAGACAGCGGGCCCGCCGATGCCACCCGCCTCTTCACACAGCAGGCGTACGCCTTCAGCGCCTGCCCCCCCGACTGTGTCGGCCCCGGTGCGATGTCGTTGACGAGGTAGTCCTCCCCTTCCCACCGGAAAACCTGTCCAAGGAGGTCCGTCGAGCCAACCAGTCGTTTAGCCAGGCCCCGCACCTCTCGTGCCTGTACTGGCCTGAGCACGCCGGTGCTGGCCGCGAACGACAAACCGATCGCCCTAAGTTCCGCCAGGACCGCCTTCTCGCCCGCCACCGCGGCCTCTTGGTCCCTCTCGGCTTCTCGGATCGCATCCCGTCGTTGTCTCACCCTGTCAGCTGCCGGTACGAACCTCACTCTGGAGCTTCATCTTTTTCTTGCCACCGCCCCGATCTTACGAGGCACAACGATCCCTTCCGCGCTGAACGTCGTCTCTGTGGGACTCGCGAGTCCGCTCATGGCGCTCGGACGCCTGTCCACAGGCGGCCACTGGGTCACGCCCGAGTATTTGCTTGGGCGGCCCGCCGTCGCTGACGCGGATGGCGCTGCTGGCGAGTCCGCGCTTGGGCCGCCCGCTGCTGCTGGCGAGTCTGCGCAAGCGCCAACTGTTGGGTGTCCTTGCTGCATCGGCCCGCCCGACACCGCCTTCGAGGATGCGTATGAGGGCATCTGTGCGCTTGGCCTGGACGGCATCAACACAGAAACCGCCGCGAAGTTTGTCCGCCTCTGCGCCAATGACCGATCGACCATGCGGCTCTCCAAAAACAAAGCCAAACTCGCAGCAAAATTGAGGAAGCCTCCTCTTTCCATCGAGGAGCTTGTGCAAATGCAGCACGCAGTCTTCCGAGCATATCGGATGATCTGCACCACGTTATCCCCGTTATAGCAGGGAGTGAAGCGTGTGCTTGAACGATTACCCTCATGCATCGTGGGCCCGCGGCGCCTCGTCGTGACCGAGCCTCGGCGCGAGTCTGTCCTTGTGGCGCGTGTGTTGTGGGGCGCGCGCGGCGCCCGGTCAGCTCCCCCAGAAT